CAAGTAGCATTGTGCATGCGCGTACCGAGGGGGTACATTTGAAATTTATCTGAAATTGTTAATTTATATACCACTAGCTTTTAAAAAAAATTCTATTTATTCCAACATAATCCGGGCGAGAATTTCAGTGTTCCCTAAATTGGTGAACACGTKGTATATTACGAGTATATCAAGCTTCAAAAACGCTATTTCACTACCCCTTGATTATTTACGATGTAGATATGGCCTATATCCATTCTACATTATCAATGTATACATATAAAGACTATATACATAAATAATATGATATTATTATTATCGTCATTGCCATTGTATAATACATTATTATTAATTATAAACAAACGTGCACCACTGACTGCTTAAGACTGTATACACTAATAATTATTGTGTCCTTAAAGCAGAGACGTGACGATGAGATCGCTGTCGTCTTATGTCTTTACCTATCGCTCTCGAAAGTGGGATATTTTTTTTATCATCGCTGCCGCCACTGCCTTCCACACCGCGGAGATCCGTCGAAGGTGTATAGGGTGATGGTCGTGTGCCGGTTCACTCTTCACCACGACGATTCACTACTGCAGCAGGTGGGCGACGCGAACGATACACCACCACCAACTACCGCCGCACCAGATCGACGAGCAAACGACAATATTAATTTCATTAATTCTTTTTAACTACTTGGCGTACAATAAGTACACGACACGGGCGCATGCGTGTGTGGTAAATGTATACTATAATATTGCAGTGCGATCCGGCCTGCACGGTAAAACAACAACACGAGCACGCGACGAAAATATAATGATAACATATATTATTATTATACTGTGTTGATTATAACATTATAAATGTTTAAATAGGCGAAACGAATTTCGTGTTTGGTTCTGTAACGAATAAAAAAATACTTGTGAAAGAAAGTATACACACACATACACACGCCCGACTTGCAATACATGTATAGTTGCATGGATTGCGTGTAAACAGCAGCGGCGCAAAATTAAACGGATATTAAATTTCAGCGGCACGCCGAATGTGTGTATTTGTATACATACTGTTATACCCTTCCGATAATATATCTACAGACATACTCGGATTTCTTTGCGTCATTTTTGTTTCCAAGATTCATTTATAAACCTGATTTCTACTTACATATCGATATCATGTGACACGCGAGCACATATTATGGTAAAAGTATAATACTAATAATATACGTATATAATATAGGTACTATAATATAACCTAACACCTATAATAATATATTATTATGTCATTCTCGTACATTATATTGCGTTYGAATCATTACAATAATTCATCATTGGCAGTGCGTTGGAAATAATAAACGCGAAGGGTGTTGAGAGTCTTCTCTCGCTCGGGACGAACGAGTCGAATGCAATTAATATATTTGGTAATGATTTCTGCCCGGCTACCACCAATAGGTAGGTATAATATACTATACGGTTTATGGATGTTGAATTTTGCATCAAATTTGCAATGATTTCCCGAACCACTTGGCTCTGATTGCCACTTGTCTCTGATTGGCCTCAATTGCCACTCAGTACGGGTTTCCACGGAAAATCGGAAAATAATGTACAAGCCACCGTTCAATGCACATTAGGTAGGTACTCAAATAATCAATCGGTCGAAGATAAGAGCCAAGTATTTTGTTATCATACAATAAAAACAAAAGAGAATAATAATTGTTATGATATACATAGACACATATATATAGCCGAAAAATRAAAATATCGAGCACAGATGTGTCTTTCTCTATTGGCGCGTTAGGCATAATAACAAATTGAGCCTTTCCCTGCAGTATTATAATATAACACGACGTGTAAGGGCAGGTACTAACCGCTAACGGACGTCTCATCCAGTAAATTCCTCTTCAGTTCAGTCATTTCGGTGCCGGTCGGCGACGATTCATATCTCCTGGGCGGCTTTTGAACCGGGTTCACTACGGCCAAAAGGCTCTTTTGCTGTTCAGACGGCTCGGACACTAGCGACGTGACATGGTTGTGATGGTTGGGCACGTCGCCGTTGGAAAAGCCGTTGGCGTGAGATTTTTTCGATAGCATGCCACCACCAGCTGGTCGGCGCCGGTAACAGCACAGRCAGCAAACGATCAACAACAGTATTATGATGAAAATACCAGCCACCAGTCCGATGATGATGGGTAGCGATTCTTTCACGCTGACCGTACTACCCAGGATGCCCTTACTACCACTTCCCTGCAAACGGTAAAGTTCAAAGGTTATTAAACACGTTACGAGTGATAAAATAACAATAATATAGTAATAATATTATTATATGATAGTGCGACTAATACGCAAGTAATGCACTTTTAATTTTTCGTTTGGAAACCTAAACCCTTTAATCACCCGTATAATTCAGATAAATTAAGATCTATACGATTTTATGAGAGCGGATTCGATGACCCACCTGAAGCGCTAMGCTATTCATAATTGTTTTATTCAGGGATCAAATTTCATATTAGCACAATTAAAAAATGTTTGAATTAGTTTATGGTCTTAAATTTCCATTAAATTTACCTTATTTATATTGTGCAATACGTATACATCATGCATATAATTTGTTTGGCAGGTAGGTTTAGTTTAAGCATTTTAATTGTCGTTATTGCAACTTATTTGTTCATGAGTATAACTCAAGTAGGTACCTATTAAGTTCGTGACGAAAGTACAGAAATTGTTATTAAGTAATAAAGAGGAAAAGTTTTTTATTGAYGATGACTGATGGGTAATAGTATCGGTTCATTTTAACTCATAAATAAATAATATAAATATCTTATATTTTTATTAAATAACGTTTATAATAATATATACTCTCACAAGGTCACAAGAATGAGTGAAGCAAAATGACTGACTGATTATTTTATCCTTTACAAAACAATCCTTGTCAGAAAAATACACCCACAAATAATGCTCAAAATGACCTAAAGTTATTTAAGATAAAAAAAATATTTGAGCTCAAGGGGTTTAATAAGTTTCTGTAAGAAACATAATAGGTAAGCGGTTACATACGTAAGTTCCTGCACAAAAAAGAAAAAATACACCCATACATAATACAATTCGAAAACCTGAGCTTAAAATGTGTTTTTTTTGTGTTGTATGAAAAAAAAGTCTATAGAACTGGAATCAATGAAAATTGGATTAGTCTTTTGGGAACTTAAATTTACCAGCTCTAATAACCTATAACAGTTTTAGGGCGAAAAAAGTACCCACGCACAAACAGGCCATGTCCATAGTTTACCGTTATTACAATTCCAATGGTGTGAGGAGGGATGACCCCGCATAGGTACCTGAACAATGACGGTGATTTTGCGCTCTTCCAACCCGGCAGGGTTCTGCGCGATGCATTTAAATTCGGACTTCCCAATCAACCTAGACCGTGACACGGTCAGGTTAATCCACTTAGCCATGGTGTTGTCCACGCTCTCGTACACCGTGAATTTGTAATCACCGTGCGAATAATTCGATATGGGCCGGTTGTTGAACACCCACTGAACGCTGGGCATCGGCTCTCCGTATATCTTGCAACCGATCGTCATCAGCTCATCGTCGTCCAGCTGAAACGTGGAGCTCTGGGCGGGATACTGGATGATTGGATTGCATGCAAAGTCGTCGGGTTTGATGTCACCCCATAGCTTGTTCAACAGTCTCGGAGGTTCAGCGCATGATGCCGTTTTTATGTAGAGGTTTTTGTTCATGACCTGCAAAAACATAAACGAATATGTAAAAATTGTACTTTTAAGGCTAATATGATACCTAAAAGAATCATGATTTTTGAAGAGTTTTGAAAAACCAAAACAAAAAAAAGAAATCAATGCCTTTTTAAAAAATTTGGTAGGTACCTTAATTTTTTTTWAAATACAAGCAGAAGTAATGCGCATAATATAGTGCACAATATACAAACCAAGTTCATGAAGGGCCTAAGCTTGCAGTCGCATCGCCACGGATTGTTGGTGATCTCCAAGTTCATCAGACTGGGCACGGAAGCYAAGACTTCGGGCTTAATGTTGGCCAACTGATTGCCACTCAGCTCCAGGCTATTGAACTTGGTGATGTTGTAGAATGTCTTGGGCTCAATGTCCGTAATCAAGCACGCGTTAAGTTCGACCGTTTGCAGAAATGACATGTTGCTGAACAGACCGTTCCGTAGCCGCTGTATGAGGTTGTGGTTCAGGTAGATCTTGCGCAATCGGAATGGGTCCCTGAACGTGGCCGGGTGTAGCACGTGAATGTTGTTGTCGGACAGGTCCAGCTCGATGAGTATCTCCAGGCCACGGAACGCGTCTTTGTCGACCAGTTCGATGGAACAACTGCGGGCGATCAGCTTGTGTAGGTTGATCAGGCCYACCTCYCGAAACGCGTCTTTATTCATCTCTAGTATTTTGTTGTTGGTCAGGTCGAGCACCTGCACCTCGTTGCTCAGGTTTTTGGGTATGCTGGTGAGACTCGAATTGATGCACTCGGCCATCTTCTGGCCACTCACCCATTTGCACCGGCATGTCTGCTGGTTGCACACAGTGACCCAGTCCAATTCGGACGCCGAGTGCGACGCGATGGGCGCCCACAGCAGCAGCGCGATTAGTGTATACAGGCCGATCATTGCTTAGGCATAACAGCTGGTATTTGTGTACAACGACGACAACCTATGCATTGTTGGCAAACCGAAAAAAAAAACAATCGTAGTATTATAATAAAATCAATGAAGTTCACGCGATCATTTCAAACTGTTAGTGAGAAACTTACGCGGACGTGGAAATGTAGGAATTTCACTTATTGTTTTTCAACTATTGGTTGCATCCCGAGATGATTCAAAGTTGGGGGAAGGGGAGGATGAAAGAAGAAATGAGAAGTTCTGGTTGACAAGCCATAAGTAATAATAATAGTTTAAAGTCAAATTTTTTTTTAGAATTATCGAGTTAGATTGTTTATACTCGATAACAAAGATTACGAAGACGTACCTATCCATATTTTAGTTTCTATAAAAGTTAAACATTCATATTTAACAGCATTAAAGTGTCGACGACACGTGGTATTGGTCAGTCACGAGCGGATTTCTATCAATTTCTTAAACCAACTAAGAACATTTAACAATATTTCAACAAAAATCATATATTAGGAATACCTATATGACATAGGTATGTATATATTTAATATATTTACTGCGTAGACTATCGTGGACTACCATATATTATAATTGTATATGCACTCATATTACCTATAAGATATATAATTAAGTACATAACTATAAATAAATGAATACCTATACAAGGACACGTCGTTATATTACCAAACGCAAAGCCGGTTACTTTATTAAGTTCATCATTAGTTGCTATTGTATTRTATCAAAAACAAAATACTAATATACGTTAAGTTGTTGTGGGATAATATTTAAACTCGAAAATGGAAATTCTATTCATTTTATATGCGGCTTTAAGATTTGTTTAAATCAAATCAAATCTAATTTTGTATTATGATGTATTTTACGAGTTACAAAATTTAAGTGAACTGAATTTGGGATTATTGATTAACACAAATTATAACATAATGAATATATCGAGGAATATATTTACTGTATTAATTCAGTGTTGGAAAATAAGAAGGATACATACAGCTTGAACGATTAGTATTTCCAGTACGATGAAATGTTTAAGTATATCTACACGCGTAGATGTATGGTATATACATTTTTAGGTTCAAACGTGTCTCAATGTTTGCATATTATATGTTGAAAATTCCCAACGGATTATAGTGAATATAGTTCATTCGCGATTCAATTCAAATCAAATATCATAAAACAATGTATGAAAACCAAAATTCACACATGTTTATTCGATTTATAAGTAAATGTGTAGTTTTGAGAAAATAATAATAATAATTTTGAGCTTTGGTAAATAAATCTATGCATCCGTGGAGTAAAAAAAATGTAAATGTAATACAAATAAAACATTTATCACATTCACAGACTATTATTAATGTTTGCGTTTATAAATTGAATAAAGGTAATGGTAATTTGTCGAGATTGAAATGTGCAATTTTATAAAAATAAAACAAATCGAACGAAGAATAAAAAGATTAAGTTTGCTTTATACACGAAAAACAAATAAAATATAATATCAAGTTTCAATAAACATAGGAGAATAACTACAAATCTCATTCATAATATATCTAATTTATGCATATTTAATAAATTACCAATTACAACAATGTTACATTCAAATGGAAAATTTGATGGCTTTAATTGATTTAATTTAAAATATTATTTCATCTATACATAGTCCATTCTATATAATCTAAATTTGTTTGAAGTATTAAGTATTTCATTYGCATACATTATACATATAATATTAGCAATAATAACATAGGTACAAAATAGCGACAACCGGTGACGTCGATTTTTAAAATTACGTTCCATATGATGAAATTTTTAATAATAACTCTTGCGTACGAAATTATGAAGAACTGTTCAATGAAAATATATATTCTTGATGGCATTGGCATAATTCTGCAATCAGGCGGCCGGAGTAGCGATGGTCGAATAAATGAAAACAGTGATAGTTTATGGTAAYCATTGATTTTATTATACTTGATTGACCAATATGAAATCATTGATGGAGATTATAAATAGATACATTTTAAAAAATGTATGTAAATAATATAAACACAAAAAGGTCTACACGTAGGTACTAGGAATGAAACGAGGCCAWTAAATTATACTATATAGGTACACGCGGGCTAAATATATATGATATGTATAAATATGCAGTGCCAGTTATAAATAATATTCATTTGCATAAAAAAATCAAAAATAATCATGTAGGTACCTTTTTAATATGCACCCTATTATACCGTTCAATGAATCTTCATTAAAATTGAACATGGTTTTTTTCTGTGCGATGTCCATAATAATAATTATTAAATGTTAATTGTGTTTTTATTCTAAAGCTGCGGGGGATCAGGCCACACGGAGAGGTTCGTATTGTATTAAATATATATGAATCGCWTTACATTTGCCGACTAACGCCGCTAAAAGTTTTTTTTTWAATTTTATTCTATTTTATAGCAATTAATAACGCAGAGATTTAAAATGCGATCGTAAAAAATACACAATTATACATTTATACGCGTATATGTACGTCATATATGTTATATAGGTAGGTACTATATGTATATATTGTATATATATATTGAAACAACGGGCACATCAAAATAAGTTCCAAAGGAATCCGTTTATTTGTTTTAACCATAAAAAAAAAAAAAATAATAATTAATGATCATCCGACACAGGAGTTGTATGGACTATGGAGTGACTTAACCGTGTTCAATACTAAGACCGTTAATTTAGCATTTGCGTTCAGAGTAAAATTGCTACAGTTGACGACAAATATAAAACATGATTCAGTTGGTGTGGTTTTATTTTAATATTTTAATACGAGTAGGTACAGAAAATTATTATTTTTTATTTAGATTTCTTATCAGTAATATGGTTTAAAGATTAAGGCGTTGAATATAAATGTTAATGATGCTTTTAAAAGTGGAAATAGTCATAATTTTAAATCAGCTTAGAATTGAAAATACACGTGGTATTTAACACGAACGTGTCTATTATATACATAAAATGTTTTAACTATCTTTGATTTCAAATGTTTGGAAATAAATATATTGAAGATAATTATTTAACAATTTTTAACCAATTAATATTTGTCAAAAAATCTTCTTCAAATACTAATATTTTCAGTTTGCTTAAGGGGATATTATTGTATGCGATGAGAAATATGTTTTATAAAAACTATTTATTTGTTAATAATTTTCAATTTTAATCATTATTTATTTAAAATTGGGTGCGATACATTCTTTAATATCAGTGATAAAAATGTAACTTACGGGATTAAAACTATCTGTAGGTAAATAAAATAAAAATAGTATATGTATGTAGTATGTACGTATATAAAGAAATTAATCAAACGGAAAACTGAAAAGCAAATTTCTGCACTGACAGGGACTACTACAAGGGTTACACATTCGAATAGCAAAATAATTATACTCAATTCTAAAGAGAATAATTATATATAGAAACCACATACTTATATTTATATAACAATATTATAATCATGTCTCGCATTATACAATTTGCCAGTTATGCTTATGACATTAAGAATCTTTCAAACGACATAATGAATTATTATATTGAGATCATACATATTATATACAAGTTGGAAGCTTAGAAACGGTAAAATAGATACTAAAAAAAACCTTGTGGTTTCATGCACTTACGTCAACACGTCTCAAAGCCGGTGGCTACGATCCGACGATCTAATGGCGGCAGCGCCCACACCTTGCCAACCGATATCGTAAAGCTCCATACTTCTGAAACACATAAAAACGAATCATGGCGTCAGAACAACATTTCATTCATGGTGTACAACGCATCATATAATACGGAGAAGAAAAAAAGTGCATTATCTCTGGTGGAAACAACGGTGGTTACGCAATAATATGACAAAYGGTGACACGTCAATTCCGTGAAACATTGTAATATTTAATATACGCACATTTTAATCGATGATTATTATTATTATTGTTACTCACGTATGAGCATGCGGATGTGGCCACTTGAGGGACGCAATACATAGTGTGAAAAAAACATGAAACGAGTGTATTATAGAGATATACACACGACGAGTGTACAATGTATCGACCTGCGAGTAAGTATGACTTAAAACATAAATTATATTTTTCAGTTTTTCATAAAATAAAATGACAACAAAAATTGATGATTCAAATTATAATGACGTGCAATCAACTCCTGTGGTGGCGCGATACGGGATGGAGAGGAAATCGCTTTACCACAAAAGATGATCGTTTTACATTTTACTACGACATTGGCGGGGTGATATGGTGTGGAAGTGGAGTGGAAGAAACCAGAGCGATAAAACTGAAATTATTTATTTACAAAATACGTTTTTCTTTTTCTTCTTCAACATTATTTAGTAAAAGTGTACACCTAATTTCCAAGGAGTTATATGGATTACTATTTAGAGAGGCCTAAGGTGGTACTGCAGCGAACAGACTTTCGAGACTTTTCTGTTCACGTCGTTCCGGACGAAATCCGCACGTCGGTCGTAAAAGTAAACAGTTTAAGTTAACAGTAAAAGTAAAAAGTTTATTATATGGTGTTCTACACACCCAAGGTTCATAGAGAATATTATCATCTATTAAACCTTGACGCACACTTCGTTAATATCGTTGCATGAAATCACCACCATCATATTTTGCTAAAATTTCAAGTTAATATTAAATGCTAGCTCGTATATTTATAATAATAATAATTTATTTTTAACCTATACGGTGGGCCTATTCTGTATGGGACGCAGATATCAAAATATTACATAACGATATTTTATTTTTATGTAATAATGTTGCCGATGGCAGTTTTTCCCGTGAAAAATAAAACGACATTTTAATGGCCAGTTGTAGTGAAAAAAAAAAAAGAAGTCAAGGAAAAATGCCCAGTCTGCAAACATTATAAAGGCCTCAATAAAATAACTATTCAGAGGTAGGGAAACTATTTTGTTTCCAATCCATATYACGTGTTTAATTACCATAATTATAGAATAATTATTAAAGAATCAATTAGGTAAACCTATTTATAAAATTCAATGTCAAAATAATATTGTARCTAAATATTTTTAGATAATACCAAAAAACTTTTTCTTGTTGTAAATCAACTGCCATTTTTAGGTAATATATTTACTGTCATTGACGATTACATTGTAAAATGTAAAAATTTAAAATACATGTGTATAGATTGTCAATGTGCGAGTCAATACTCATCGTCGGCACATATAGTATTCCTGTAGGAATTATTATATCGAATAATAATTGTCCGTTCCGTGTTCCCGGAATACAGTGTTCGGTGTGGTCGARAATACATTTGTGTGGAGCTGGGTACCCCAAATGTCCAAAATACGGGTCATATAAATAATATTATTAATAGACGATTATTTCTAAAACATTACCTATTTAGTATTGTACGCTTTGTCTACTACCGAGACGGACTTATTTCGAATTCCGCTTGTAAGCGCGTGCACACACGTACGAGCTTCCGAAATTCGGCGGACCGCAACGTATGAAATACAACGCGTTCACTTATAACGACAACAGTAATATTATTATAATAATATTAAACTATAATAATTTATACAATACAGACACGTCCGACCGGCGTGCGCACAGTCGTCGATGAAATAACGGCTAACGGACGAGCGGGCGCGAAGTGTTCATCGCTGCGACGGTCGCCGCACRTTCTATAATAACAGATGCTACTCCGTCGGCCGACGCGCACTGACTGAACCACTGAACCTGTTCTGCGCGGTACACGGCGCGGCGGCCGCCGACAGACGGACGCGGTACCTGCACACCGCGACCGGCAGCGTCCAGTAGAATGCACATCATCTGAAGTTGGTGCATTGTGATATTGAAAAAAAAAAATATACCCAAACAACGATATTGCCATGTTTTCAAGGTCGCGAAATTTTCAGCGCGGGCAGACGACTACACGACAAAACGATGAGACCATATGAAACAACGGTGTGTGGCTTATAGGAATAGTTTTAAATAATCAGTTTAGTATTATCATATAAYAACACAAACAAGTACGTGATATTCAATTTTAAAATAATTAAAACCTAATTGAATATAAACATAATTCTATGCATAAACTTTAAACTTTTTCTCCCGGGAGAACCTTTTTTAAAGCCTAAGAAGTTTAACAAAATACAAAAATTATTTTATCAAAATGGCCAACATAATAACTAATAAGTAATGCATAATGATATAACAAGCTGAATTTGTTTGAATTTAAGTCGAGAACCTACACATGAAATAATTTATAATCATCCCTATAATTAAAAATACGCTGATACTTTTCCAAAATATGTTTAGATCTCTTAGAAAACGTCCCAATTGAAATTATATATTTTACATAAAATACAAACAACCATCATATTATTACAAAAATCTGATTTGTAAATCTCTTAAGTTCTGCAGTTACTCCAATTTCACCAATTTAAGTCATCTGCCACGATGGTGAATCAGCCCATTATTATTATTTTTAAATTTTATAATTTTTTTTTTTTAACAAAAAATTCTTATCTATCTTATCTTTAAAATCTTAAAAAATGTATATAAAAAACCAAAATTATTATAAATGCGTTGCAAATGTTTTATTCGTCTCAAACTAATTTCAACCTTTTGTACCCCTATAACAACTGCCACTGCGAAGAATACCTCATTTTATTCATCCCACCATCGTGCCATAGATTAATTTATGTGACTTATATCGATCTGATTAACTGAAAATTAGTGACACGATCGTCAATGTGGGCAGTAGTAAGCAACAGTAAATTATAGACACAATATAGGTAAATTTGTGGGCGTTGTACGCCGTTMGTAATCAAGAATTCTTAACTTTTTATAGGTATTATTATTATCTGGTCTCGCACCAGTCGTCAACGCACTATGAATAATATATTATAGCTATAACTGCTGTTATTAGTATTTTTATTTAAACAAAATAACTACTGTTAGATATCACTTTTTTATTGGGTTATGGCTATGAAAAGTGACATTATCAGAGCAATACAAGTACCTAAGTTTATAAAGTATTCAGTCAGAGTAATTGTTAAATATTTGATTATAACTTTTCGTTTAACTTAAATAAGTTAGACCCACTCGTAAAACATCGCTAAGATATTATTAAATATTAATGATGTGAAATATTTTGCTTAACRACAGAGCCCTTTTTTGTTGTGAGATATGTTATTTTTCTCTGCTAGAAATGATGTATACTTCTCATCCGGACGATAGGATCCTAGTTATAATTTAACGCATATAAAAGTTTTCTAGGTGCTTTTTAGTTCTGATACTTATTGTTCACTATAATAAAAACTTATTTTTATAAATAAATAGATATATTTTGTGCACAAAAAATTGAATTATTTATTTACTATGAAAATATATAAGTATGCAATTATGATAATAGACTGTRACGTGCGAACGTGATTAAAAATATATTATAATATTTTCTATACAGCTAACGTTATAGTTGTTTTTTTCAATCCATTGGGACTCTCCCCTAAAGTTATAGTCTATAACTTATAGATTTCATACTTGGCTCAACAACAAGGAGGAAAAACCGATTATCTTTGGAGAGCATATTAAATGACCTCGAAAAATTCCGGATTCCTATGCCTTAATTGAATTCCCATTCAACCCACAACAGCCACCGCCTTTGTATACATATTTAATCTRWTTGTTTTCCCCGACATAAGYCAGCACCATATTCCACAGTACAATGTATACGTAACCGATAAGTTATGTATAACTAGAGCACATTTATACATATCGATACACTCAGAATTTTTCTTATAGTATAATCCAAAATAGAAGCAGCAAGTGAATGAAAACCAAACGATGCGTATTATAATATATAAATTTAGGTCTATGCCGTGTATATGCGCCGCAGTACAATGATACATAGAAAACTTACATTTAATTGCGTGGTGATATTAACATGCAAATCGGTTTTTAACGAACGATGATCGACATTCGACTCGAAATTCAAAACTTCGATCCCCAGTGGGAATATTATGCTGTGAACTACCACAGCGTTAATATTATATTTTGAATATACCATATCATGAAATACGATTACACAGAAAAAGCATAGTTGTTGTGCATACGCAAAATACAAGAGTTAAAAATTGTAAGTCACACAGATGTGTATGGTCCAATAGTTTAGTCTCGCGTCCTGCGAATAGAATTCAAAAATATTTTTAAGGTAATGAATGATACAAGTAACTGAGCTGTACACAGTGTATCCTGTTTTTGACACGTAGTACACGCTTAAACACAAATCAATGGGGTTGTCTAAACACATAGGTCGTGTATAAATAAAGTGTCACTGCAGTGCGCGATAGGAGGAAATGTCCATTATAATAATTATTTAGCAGCGCCGGACAGATGCGAAAACCAAATGGTCACACCGTGTTAATTAAATTCGACCCCGTCTGATGCAGTCTAGCTGATAATTAATACTGGCCCGAGATTTATATTAAGAGGACGCCACACGTTCAGCGAAACGTACCTACCTTTAAACAAAGCCGAGAGTTTAATGTTTTATTCGACGCTATACAATATAACGCACGTTTGACGACAGTCCACGCGGACACGTTTCCAAATCGACGTTTTGACTTTATAATTATCTGCTGTAGTCGATCGGTAACACTGACGCTTATACGTTGTTTATTTTATTACGAAATTAAAATTATTTTATGTAAAATCGAACTTTTTTCAAGTTAATTTCT